CCCATATCCAGCAGCCACAGTGCGAGGGTTGGGGTACACCCTGGACAGGTCGCAAGTCCATCACAGGGCCACACATAGAGACAAACGAGACAAACAACCATTCACTCTCTCACTCACACCTAGGGACAATTTAGAGTTATCAGTTAACCTAACAATCATGTTTTTGGTCTGTGGGAGGAAGCCGGAGTACCCGAAGAGAACAAATAAAATAAAATACATACAAAGCAGAACACAGCTAAATGTATCAAAAGTCTGTCTATGTAATATTAGAATTTTCTGAGACAATGAATTTTGGTTTTTCTTTTTTTTTCAGTAAGAGGTTTTTATTTAATAGAATGTTTGGACAAAAAAATCGCAATATATCGGGATATATCGTATCGTGACCCCTCTGTCATGATATGTATCATATCGCCAAATTTTTGCCAATATACAGCCCTACTTGGGATCACAAAAAATAGTGCTGGGCATGGTTCTGCTAATCAGCTAACAGCTAGCAGAACACATTTTTCGTTTAGGGGATTAATCTTTTCATTAACTTTGAAAACCACCAGTGGATCAATGGGGACCTCCACACAGGCTTTTTTCTAGAACACTAGTCACCTGACTACGTCTGCTTGACTCCAGCGCACATACAAACTCTCGTATGCAGCTTCATTGATATCATTGGTTTGGCTGTGTTTAAATTCTGGAAAACAGCTTGAAACTCCACCAGGAGGACCCCAAAACACTGTGCTACAGGTCTCAGGTTAAGAGAGTCATCCTGGAACCGGTGGGTTGCTGGTTCAATCCCCCGTTCCATCCGTCTCAGTTGTTGTACACTTGGGTAAGGCACTTCACCCACATTGCCTGCTACTGATGGTCAGAGTGCCCGGTGGCACCGCTGCATGGCAGCCCTGCCTCTGTCAGTGTGCCTCGGGGAAGCTGTGGCTACAGTGTAGCTTACCACCAGTGTGTGAATGTGTGAATGATTGAAGTGTGAAGTGCTTTAGAGTCCAAAGGGACTTGATAAGGCACAAAAGTTCAAGCCACCATTTACCATTCTAACAGTGACTCAGGATACAGCCACCATCTCCACAGGGAAGGAGTCTTTCCAAGTCTGTCGAAGACCTCGACCCTTCAGCCGACCTTTCAATTGAACTTTTCTGTGATTCTGAAGTCGGCTGCATCAAAATTTGCTTTAAGAAAGTCTTTTTTCTGATACAGTATTAACACGACTCTCTGTAGAATCTACTCAGATTGTCCGTTCATTGTGAAACATTTCAACTTTTATTGCCTTTGAACTGATCCAGATTACCRTGTTTTCTGGGTACAGTGTGCAAAGCTAGGCTAACCTTAGCTTGATAGATTATTTTTCATTCAGATGTAATACTGGCAGTATTTATTTTATCTTAACGAAAGAAGTAAAGAAGAAAATTTCTCAAAAACCCAAGTCTTTTAGTCAGACACCAACTATTTATCCAAGTAACATTTTATCCTGACATTACCTTTTGACGGGACCACTCTGTTTAGACTTAGAGTTAGCTTTAGCTTTGGATGACAGCCTGCAAAGTAAAAACAGGTTAGACCATACAATGGGGACAGGAAAAGAAGATGGCAAATGGACACAAATGCATGATAAAAAAATAAGTTATGCAATGCATGTTAAAACTGCGGTGATGTTTATAAAAGGTGTGTCACATTCAACTTAAAAGTTAAAGATCTGCCTCAAGAGGGTCCAATTTTTCAACAAGTAGTGCTTAAAGTACTGATCAAAATCAATGAATTCAACAGATTTGTTGAACTTGACACACTAATGCGCTGACAAAAACACAAATCTGATCTAAAAGGTAAATGGACATGTTTTGACCTTTCTAAATTTTGTTGTGTTCTGTTAAGTCCATATACCTTTGTTCAGATTGTGCCTTTTGTGTACTCTATGATCACAGATATGTAGTACTAACTAGGAAATTCTGTGTTTTTTTAATTTTAATGTGAACATCAAGAGAACACATTTGACCTTTCTGGCATCACACACTGCTGCTTTACGTTTTGGGGAGTATAGATAAAGAGCAGATGTGTCTGACTCCAGTAGGTTCAAAAATGAAAACATGATGGTCGTAAAGTGGAATTGCACGTGCTCTATATTGGAAAGTTTGAGTTGTCTCGACCAGACCTCAAATTACAATTAAAAACACTTTTTGCCCCAAAGTATGTTTAAATATTTTAATGTGATCAAGAAATAAATCAAGTAGAATCTGCAAAAGATCTCTGTGAAATTCGTACTACTTGACAAACATAAAGAGTTTATTTAGGGTGTATTCAGACCAGGAAAGTCCTTTGGTCCACTTGTTTGGTCCGGACCAAAAATGGACTTTATTTTTTCATTTGGTGCGGTTTGCATTCACATTGTGTTTTTTGGCAAATGAACTATAGTAAGTTGTAAACAAAGCCATGAGGCCATGAGATCATCGCTCCCATTGGACAGAAAAGGACGGGGGCGGGACTGAGCCACAGATCCAGAAGAAAACAAGGAAGTCCTGCATGCTGCGGTTCTGATGCGCACATTTTTGCTGATAGTACAACTGCAATAGCATTTAAAATGTCAAAATCAGCTAATTTATTGG